ACAACCCACGGCTCTGTGGTCTTTCCGTCAGCTCCGTCTCTGCTTGGCTACAGACTATTGGGCTGAAACGCGGTAAAACAACAGCTGAAAATGCGCCTGGATCTGACACTCAGGGTGCTGCAGATGCGTCTGTCCTACTTTTTTTTTCAGAATCGTGGTTCCTGTGCGTTTGGATGATGCGATTTGTACCTGCCGTGTTTAGCAATAATTACAGCTGCCGCTTTTACACAATGTGCAGTCTAACGTTCTTCCTCTCTCCCTCCCCTAAAAACAGAGAGCGAGTGCTCTTTGACACGCGTGACCCTTTCGCTTCGCAAGACTGCGATTGCGATTGTCCGAGCAGAGCTCAGCCCTGACATAATGCTCTGTTGTCTGCGTCGCCCCTCAACTTGCTTGGACGTGATTCTCGAACAGCCGAAGAATGCAAAAAGTCCCGGGCTCGGGAAGAGTCGCTGCCGGTCGAAATCGTGTCCGGGTTGTGGTCCGGTGGCCCTGTGGGTCTGGAGCAAGTCAGGATGTTCGGGGCTCCGCCAGCTTTGAGTAGGCGTCCCGTACGTGCAGGCAGCTGAGAGTTACAGGGTACACGGCACGACCCGCGTGTGTGAGGCAGTGGAGAGAACGACACATGTGCACAATGTTACTCCTCCAAACAGAGCCCTGTTGTGGGGAGATGACCCTCCTCGCACGTAGCTGGGCTCAGTAATGCGGATTCCAGAAGGTGCTTCATTCAGCGCCGGGGGAAGCAGGTGTGTGAACACGTTGGCCTCTGGAATCGCAGAGCGCCCAGTACACGGGGTTTCTGCGGAGAAAGAAGCGAGTGTCAGCGCTGGTACAAAGCGACCGGGGGGGGTGTGTGTGTGAACGCGGCCTGCTTTCTTTACACCCCCGAAGCACAGAAGATACCACCAACACAGAACTTAACAATACCATTAGATAGCTCGTGTCTTGCAGCCCTGCATAAATACGACTGAAGAAGAAATTTATTTTATCCCGTCGATTTACACTCGGCAAGAGCGATAGTGAAGCTTTGACTTACATTTTTTTAAAACATAGCGTCACACGTTAGGTCACGCTTCTGCGTGGTCTTGCCGTTTCCGAACTCGCACACCTATTTGCTTGCCGAACCTCGGACCTGGAGCTGGGCAGCTCTGAGCAGCGCGGGGCCGACCGCCTGACGTCTGTCCGTGCTGTCCGTCGGATGAGTGCAAGCACATGGCGGCGCGAATGGGTTTTAGGCACTCGGGGCAGAGGTCAGGCTGAGCCGCAGAGGCGCCTGTGATCGGGGAAGACCATCGACAGTGACGCTCACGAGACTAGCCGGCTGCTGACGCGCTCCGGGGCTGTGGAAATCGCGCGCTGTCCTGTTGTGAATCACGATTCTTCCCAACCGAGACGGCCTGACCAGAAACATGGACACGTCGTGAATACATACCCCGGACACAGCGACCGCATGGATGATGAACATACTTTTAAACACTAAAAAAACGTGCAAAAAAAATAAAATATAGGCTACAAAAAAAACACCCTAGGTAGTAATTCTTAATCACAATATATGTTTGTACGATGAAATGTGAAACAGTGAAACACGAGTCGGGGGACACGAGTGGAAGACCACGGGGAAGTGCCTTTAAGCGTGAGAGCGGGAGGCACTTCTGACACAAGGGCTGCTGGGAGTCTGGGATAAGGAACCAGACAGGCTGCACAAGGTGACCCACCGGCTGGCTTCAGGGAAGGGCTGGATCTTCGGGTCAAACAGCTACCAGCTCGCAACCGAGCCGGCTGTGTGTGCTGGACGGCCTCCCCTCGCTTGCAGCCCTTCTGCCCCTCAGTGAGCGGCAGTGGCAGCCGTGAAGAGCTGGCCTGTCGCCGTCTCTACTGCACACTTACACACGTGTGCAGCCCAGCTCCACGGCACCTTTTTCTTGCATCAAATGACAAACAAATGTTTTCAGAAAACGGTGCTGTAGGAAAGGAGAGGTGTCATCGACCAGCTGTGTGAAAGCCTACAATAGCTACGGCTTTCTATCATTTTGCTCATTATTTGTGGAAGGGAGTAACAGAGCTTGTTCGTGTTGAACTCTCTCACCTCCCCAGATGCATCTATTTCTGGAGTCTGTGCGCTGGAGCCACGCGCTCCTTCCATTTTCATCCTTCCAGATGTAAAATTCGACTTCACACAGTACCTCGTCGGTACCAATATTGCGACTGTTCACGTTCGAGTTCCTTCACAGTGATTGTAAGGCTAAGAATATGCGTTTAAATCAGGCCGTGGTCGAAACGCTGGCCCAACTCGACAGATTCCAGAGCGGCGGATAGCTCAATCACGTGGAGTTATTATGCTTGTACCCAGATATTTAAATGAGTTTTATTAATTTATTAAGCACTGGCAAGTTTAATCCGATCACACGCCCACGGAGAGTTAACCCCCTGTGCCCTTTGTGTCGTGTGTGAGGCGGTCGCAGCCCGCAAACGTCCGACTAACAACCTGTATTGCATTCACCTGTAAAGCAAGAACTTACCGGCTCTAGGACCCAGGGTGCGCGATATTTCTCTCCAGCTGCTGCAGTGTGAAACTGGCGATGAGGGAAGATCGCGGAGAGAAACCTAAATTTCGCCCCGGATTTATTCCTCTTTAAAATCACCTCGGAGCCCCGAGACGGAAGTCGGCGGCGCCGGCAGACCCCTCCCCGCGTGCCCGTGAAAGCCACGAGCCCGGACCCGCTCGAGAGCAGCCCCGCGCTGAAGGTAAGGCGGCGCGAGTCGGTTGCCATTGCTAATAACAAAGGCGCTGCGAGGGGCATTAAAGGGGCATTGCAGGCAGTCGTGGGGGCGACAGTTGCACCGTTTAAACTTTTTCTTCTTATCCTTTATTTATTTGTGCTCAACTTCATGAGGACAAACAGGTGTGTGCGTGATGGTAAAAATGCGATAGAAAATGCTTATTAGTAAGAATACGATTGCTTCTACCAACACTATACTACTAGACTACTACCAGTATCCTAGTTGTAGTAACAGTAGTTCCTATTCAGTTGTTTATTAAAGGCATCATACATGATACCAGCCTACTATTGTTCCAGTACAATCCACTGAAGTGATGTGCACTGTGAAACCCTTTTAAAGTTTTGCGGGTCAAAGCTGTGTTGCATCTTTTTTTTATTTTTCTCTCCGGCTTCTGTAGCACCCTGTAGCTCCGTAGGCAGGAATATATCCCGCTCTGGCGGGTATCCTGTCAAGTTGTCTTCAATTTCACAAGCAGTTTAATTTCTTTAAGTGATTAAGAAGGTTATAAGCCTGCAAGAACACCGCCTTTTGAACAGGCTATACTTGTTCTATGTCATTCATTTTCATGTGCATGTCAACTGGAGCACGACAGCGTTCATTTCACCTGGTGAAAAGCGAATCAGGTGTTTGCAGAACTTACTTTTCCTCTTATTGACTGGTAACGTAACTCGATGGAGATGTTTGCCACCGCGGTGTGTTAAAATGGCAGAGAGATCGGGACATTCCGCCGCGAATAGCCCACTGACCCAGTGTATCTGACAGGACAGACGCCGAACAACTGAGCCGGTTTAATGACAATTGGGCTACAGCAACAGAAGGATTTAGCTCTTAAATACACGGCTCTGTGATAAGACAGGACTAAATCTGTTAACTCACGGATTCATTTTCGTGCGTGTTTGTTTTACAACACACAACTGGACGTTTTCCGGAATGTGGTCGCTAAACATACACTGTTTACTGCCGTGTGACTTAACTGTTCGGGGTAGATCTGCGCTCAGCACGCCCTGAAACACACACACAAGTCTCCAAACGAGACTTTTAGATTCGTCGAAAGACGCCGCAGACTTGAGATTCCCACACTACCCGCGTTAGTACATGTGGGTGCCACATTTTCGGCGATTCTTGAGCTCCGATCGGCCGGATACTACCGGAATCGCTAGCCGTGTTCCGAGCGCTGTCTGTCGCCCAGCGATCTCGTGGATAACCCGGTGCCTTGCGTTCTTCATTCAGAGTGCACAGCCACAGCAGGGAAACTGCAATGTGGAGGAGATCGCGGCCGGCCGTGCTCAGACACAACGCCGTTTTCTAGTTTGAGCGAATTTCTGCGCGATCTTAAACGGGTACCCTTGGGTTCTTGTTAAATTCCGAGCGTATTTAGTGCTAAATTTCTTTCTTTTTTCAAATGCAATTCACTTTTTGATCGCTGATAATCATACAAATGTAGACGCAGTTGTGTATTTGTGCATTCGGTATTAGCACAGCGGAATCCAGTCGACCAACCAAATTCACATTTTTTTTCCCAGCACACTATATTTTCAATATGCATATGAAGGGGTTTTAGTGCGAAAGCTGTATCCACGGGCTGCTTTTCGCGTCACCGTTATAGTGCTGCAGAGAGCCTAATGCAGAAATAGGTCATCCTTTGATAGTTTCTGTTTATTTTCATAGTCGTGTTTCCTTCTAAAGGTGGTCAGATGAAGGACCTGGCCGTGCTGCCAGTGACTGTAGAATGCTGTCGAGACAAAGTAGGCACTATTTGAAGTCAGAGAAAATAACACGGTCGTTTCACATTGCGAGATAACACGACTGGACTCGCTGTGAACTTGCTTTCATTTTCAAGACACATTTCATTATTTTAATTTCGTTTGGTTGAAATCCTCGGGAAAGCAACGTAAGATTAAAAAAAAAACTCCTGTTTTCTCTCATCATTAAATAATGGTGGTATTTCTGTGCTGCTTCTGTGCGTCTATGGACCTTTAGGTGTGAGACATTCTCGTCGCTAATGGCTGCAGTCGAAGGTAGCGTTAGCGTTTCAGACGGAACAGGCTTAGCATGGCCTTCCAAACGACGCATCGGCAAGGGTGGTGTTTTTACCTGGAGTGACCTTGCTGTGCGGAAGCGGGGTCTCGGCACCTCGACTTTGCTCTGATCTGCCCTGCCCGAGCTTAATTCCACAAGCAAGGCTCGTGCGCGCCTGCTACGTGTCGTGTGCCTTGTGACAGTATAGAGATCGCAGAGCGGTGTCTGTTTTAATGAGGGATTTTAATTAATGCAACTGCAGGTAGGATGGAATCTCGGTGTTGCAGATTATGCGCCGTGCAGAACCTCCGACTCAAAAGCGCCAGGTGTGTATATGTTCGAGCAGGACGAGCCGGCTATGTTATATTAAAGCTTTTAAATTCTGGTCTGGCAATCCTTCAATGAGCTGTGCTGTTAAAGAAGAACAGTTGTATCGATGAATCGCGTGATGCTTGCACGAAAAGCGATATATATATATCGTAATGATTACTGAATTTTAAAAAAATAAATATAGCATGTTGTCTTCATTGTCCTGACCCGGTATATGGCTATTTTGTGTGCTTCTTTGAGAAAAGGAGTTTAGCATAAACTTGAGATTGAAAAATGACTGGGACATATATATACAGTATATTGGGTAAAGAAGACGAATTATAACACCAAAAACAAGAACAATGATAATATCTGTCCCTTATAAAGATGACGTTGAAATGTTTTGTTCTACAAAACCTGCCCAAGATCCAGCTGCTTAACAGTGTTCGCTGACTAGAGTGAAGCTCTCCATTGCTGGGCCTCTTAAAAGCGTGAATAGTCCCTGTGTACTTGAAACTAATGAACAGCAAGCAGGGATGGTTTGAATAAGACATTTTTTTTGCTGCAAATTTTAAGGTAACTTACATTTATACCCATTTAACTGAAGCAGCCCTAGTGGAGTAAGTTGCAGAAGGGTTGGGCACTGCCCTGTCCATCTCACCCAGAATCTGGGCCCACACCCTTCCCATTACAAATCCACAGCACGCGATACTCCACACTGCTGTCAGACAGCCACTGGAGCATTATTAATCAAGCTATGGGACAGTTATATATTGTTGTGAAGTAGTGAAATCACAAATAATAAGTTGTTGCACAAGTCTTTCATCATCATCTGGCCTGTGAACCACACCTCATATAGTCAGCTGTAGAATCCTCCTTGTGTGAGATGTTTTGATTTTGTACTAATTACTTGTGTTCTGCAAAGCAACGAGCTCTCTGCTTTCCAAGACAACAATGGAATGTTGCATTCATGAAATATTACAGGATGGTAAAACACAAGTTTGTCGAGGACCTTCATTGCAAAGTGGGCATTGCAACAACAGTGCTTGGTGTCCTCTTCAACAGTGCCTCACCACATATATCTACAAACATGTTTCTGTATATTACAGAGAAATCACTATCCCAAGTTGTATGTTCTTCACCAGTTCGCAAACACTCTGCTGATGTCTAATGATCAATGAGTAGCATGTTTAACATAGAAACAGGAAAAAAAGACACTGATTTGCATGTACAAATTAACGATAGTTGTTAGCTTTGTTATTTGAATTTTTTTTTGTGTGGTTGGTATTGGGAGAACTACAGACAGCTTTCCTAGAAAGAGTTCAGCAAACTTTTAAAATGTGAGTGCTTTGGGACTACCTGCAAATTCACAGTAACTTCCTGATCTGGAGAGCAGTGCCGTGGGGTGTCTACTTCAAGTCCTCGATGTGCGCAGATGTTATCCGAAAATGCCGGATTAGAGCAGGACAATGTACTAGGTGTGCATCCAACAATATCTACAGTACATGAATTCACGTGATCTTGTTTTCGGTGCTCCACATATATAAAGTATTTCTGTAACGCAGCTGAGCTGTTGGTGTGAAGGAATGCTGCTAGGGTTCTGGGGGGTCAATGTCCAGACCCATGCCATTATTCTGACAAACACAAGAACTAAGCCCTCTCAGAAATGCTTGATCTTTAAGTGAGCAAAGAACCAAACACTTCCATTCACACCAGCATCCCCTCCACCACAGTGTGAGGAAAGAAAAATAAATACCATCATCATCATCAAGTGATAGGAAATTGTTCGACACCTATTTCTCTGTAGTGCACCCTGAGCAGCAAAATAACAGCGACTGCATGACGTCTGCCCTGTGCATGAAACTGCCAGTGGCACAAAATACCCCCACAACAGTGGGGTGCAAACTGTGGGGGCGCACTCCCCGAGGGGGATAGACTGGGAGTGGTTGCAAATTCTACATCTTACAAGTAACCACACAAATTGGCAGACAATGAATGAATGGCTTGTACAGGGTTTATGCAATGTTTCCCCAAAGCTGTTACGTTATTGGAACAGTTTGATTGCAGGCACAGGAAGTCTGATCCAGGTATTTTGTTTGTTTGTTCTTTTGTTATTGGTTGTTAACTTTCTTTGAACGCTGCAGCTTGGCGCTTCCTGCTCAAAGCCCCGGGTGCTTTGTCTTGTTGTCGCTGGAGCACAAACAGGCGACACTGACCCGTTGGCACACTGTTGATCTTCCCTTCTCGGTGCTGATGTGACCGTTTCCTTGATATTCCTTATTAAAACTCAGTGTGTTGTTTGTTTTACTCCCCAGCGTTAGTAAGCACACAGGTAGGGGATCCTCAGGCAGGGTCCCAAGTGTTAGGCAGTGCTACCCCTTAGCAACCTGATCCTGTCCGATCCCAAGCTCAGCAGGGCCGGGCTTGGTCAGCACAGGGGGGGAGCCCTGAGGACAGCCATCTCGATGCTGCAGGAGGTGTTGGTGGACCAGTAGGTGGGGCTACTTGCTCTGGATCCCAATTTGTAAACCCATGACCCCCGTGTCTCCCTGGAAGGAGAATCTGTAGTGTAGGTAGAGCCAAGCTATGGGTGAGACATTAAAACCGGGGTCCTGATTGCTCGGTCATTAAAGATCTCAAGTATGCTTTTAAAAATAAAAAGTAGCTCAATCCAGTCTGCTTCTGGCCAGTCTGGCCTTCCTACGTTTTCTTCTTAATCCAGCTGTCAGAGCAGGTTCTTACTCCCCCTTGATCTGCTGTGCAGCTGGGCTGGGGCGCAGGTGGTGGGGTTCATTGGCAAAGCCCCCTAGAAATTTAAAGACCTTCTGTTAGCAGCGGGGAGAAAGTTCAGTAAGCAAACGCGTTATTGTTCGTTTCCAACCGCACGTTCTGAATGTAGAGGTAAGGGCAGGAAAGACCGGGCCGGGGCGGGTTTATTTTTTATGTTTTCAGCGCAGACTATCTTCTCCGCCTTCCCTGTTTTTTTTTTACCTTTTTCCGTTTCTTTTTTGGCAACGTTTTGACCCAAGGGGTGCTTTAGGCGCCTCTGCCTCTCGGTTCGCGCCCTGTGGCCCCGACACCAGCTCACATCGCTCTTTTCCGGTCGCGCTGGTTCTGTGTGTCAGGACTGTCTTGCCAGGAACAGCGATAACCAGAGCCGACTCTGTGTAATATTCGTGTTAGTAGCAGGCGTACAGAGCAGGTCGGTACAGCTCTCTTCGATATTAATGAAATAAAATGGCACGCCATTGTCCGACTCCCCCCTACGTCCTGCACTTGTCCACATTTCGTGCCGCGTGTTTGTCTGTGGTGTGTGCGTGTCTTATGGCCTAACACGTAAAAACTCGCAATCTGTGGGGGTGTAGAATGCATGAGCTCGCGGGGGTGAGACGTTGACGATGCGCACCAGTTTCGCTCTTCCTTGGCTGCAGTGCTTTCTTGGGGGAATATGCGGGGTCTGTGACCAAAGGGAACACATGGCCGTCTTTCTCAAAAGCTTGTGCTACTTGACTGCGCTGTGCTACTCCCTTCGGCCGCCGCGAGACTGTTGCTTTCCTCCCTCCGCCTGAGGTCGGCGATTTCAGTCTGGTCTTGGCGTGAGACTAAACAATAGTTCTTTACCCCAGCATTTCGTAATGCACGTATTTGTAAACCAGGGCTTACACTGAAGATCGGCACTTCATAGATTGTGCGTGATAGATCACCGTGGTTATGTCGTGACCCCTCTGTTATCTGTGTCGCAATACTGGTTAGTTTCTGGGTTCAGGCGCTGTTATACGTGTCAAAAGAAACATCACAATGATGAGACGTTTGCCGACTAAAAGCTACTGTTTGGGCTCAGAAAGTAATCGGGCAATGCAGGATGATACAGGTGAAAATATCGCGGCGCGAACGCCAGCTGGCCTGCAGGTTTGATGTCTGTGAGGAGTCCCACGCTTTTCTTAGCTGAACATTTTTTTTTAATTGGGTTTTCTATCGCGGTGGTAATTGTTCTCTTACCACGGTATCGTGTTTAAATTATGTTAAGAAGGATCTGAAAAATTCTTCGCCAGAAGACGGAGTTTATAAGAAAGGCATTCTCGCATCCGCCAGATGTGCAGTTACTGCTGCCCGATTCACCTTTGGTTGTGCATTACAGCGTAATGTTTTGGCATTTTAAGGTCAGTCAACGTGTCTAAAATGGGCTTGAAGTGTGTAAGTCTGTCTCCTACCATCGGCTCGCCGCCTTTTTAATGAGAGTGAAATACTGTGCTCTTTTCCTGACGTTTGAAGATACAGTTTGCGTGCCTTAAATGTCCATGACTGGAGCGCCGAGGACTCGGAATAATTTACAGTAGTTAGGTATTAATCCTACACACAGGCGCCTGCTCCGGCCCCTCGTGTTAATTCCGCAGCGAGCAATGCTACCTTTGCAGGCACTTCGAACACACTTTCGTGGGCTTGTCACAGCCGCCCGCGAAAACCCTTTTTTTCGCGGAGCCGGCTGCCCCGGTTTGCCGTCCGCACGGAACCGGGCGCGTTGTCTTTATGGACCCAGTCTCGCTCCTCTCCCAGGCACTTGAGCTTTTCCAGTTTAGCGCACCGTTGCGATCCCCTTTCCCCTTGAGCGGCTGGGGTCCGCGTTGCATGCCGGGCGCTGTAGTCCCAACTCCTCCCTTGTACGAGCTGTCACCGACAGGGCGTGGGTAGCGAAACACTACAAGTCCCATACTGGCACCTCTCCATCTGCCCCTCTCTCCCATCGGAGACTGAGATACCGTACGGACTGTCTTGACGACCCCCCCCACCCCCCCCGGTCGGACTTTCGGAACCGAAAACGGGCGAGATTAGTGAACTGCCACGGACCAGAACGAAAGAAACGCAACTGACTCTTTAATTTGAGGTATTTGTTTCTCCAAATAATACGAAGAAAACGGAAAGATGGTTGTTTATATAATTTGATAGAGGTGGCTAAAATTTGACGAATTTATTCAGCGGCTGTAGTCAACAGGAATCGGTTCGGTCTGATCTTATTTCCAAACCCAGAAACGGTTTCCGTAGGGGCTGAGGCGGGACTGTCCGTTGCGCGTTTCGTGCCTATACGGTCGGATTCAGATATTTTAACACTGGGAAGCAATTTGTAGCCAGCGAACGCAGTGTGATATTAGTAGCTAAGGTCGACTTTGCTACGCAGGGATCTTAAATCGCATGTTATCTGCGATGCATTCGTGAGAGTAACGTTACTAAACAGCGTCCCCGCACAGGTACAGTGAGATAAGTTGCTCTTATTGCTGGCTGGGATCTCGCCCCGTATCGGAACTCTTAATGTGACCGAATTTCAGACGCAGGGGGAAAGTGCCTACTGTCTTGTGCTGCCGGTGCGTGGCTCCTCTCTGCGATCCTGTTCCTGAAGATCGAGCAATGCAAAGGTTTTTTTTTTTCCTCCCACGAGGACAGAAAAATACCATCCCGAAGGCGACCCAATACGCGCAGGGTATTCTGCCCGAGTTTGCGGAGGGCTGGTTTGTTTGCTCTCCGCCGCCGATGTGATGTTACCTTAGCGGGGAGAGCGGCTTGGCCGGGAACCCGCTGGGCTCGGTGGCTTGTGTGTTGTGTTGCAGCTCGGCTTTGCCCGTGTGGGTTTAAGAAGGACACTTTCTGACAACCGAGTTCAAAAGGTTCGGGATCTCCACTCTCTTTTTAAAACGGCGTCGTTCCGAGACTCTCCTCTTCAGGGAAAACAGGATGTGTTTTGAACAAAACAACCGCGTTCCCTCGCGTTTCTCTTTAGTCCCAACATTTCGGACCACCTGAGAAACGAAGCGTGCTCTTCTTATGTTGTGATAAACCTGCGCAGGTATACAGCTTACACGTCCTATAGGTTGCTAGACGCAGGCAGAACTAGCTTCTGTTGCACTTATATGTCGTGAAAACAGTCGTGCGTTACTGCACAGCCCATTTTATGAAATATTTATAGCGTGCTGAAAAGGTACGCTTCTTCTACACGGGCAGCCGGTTGTAAGAGCAGAGCCGAGAGCGAAGGCGGACTGCTCTGCAAGTCGGGTGAGTAAGAAGATTTTATTTTTGTGCTCTTGCTTCATGATGTGCAGCCTTGTCGAGGGGGTTTAAAACTGACGTACACGGTGGTCAGGGACTTTAAGCGCCGAGCATAATCCCCTTGCCTGCTCCCGGCCGCGCGTGGCTGTGGAACTGCATCTGGAAAGGCAGCGAAGTGTCTCGGGACGGAGGAGGTGCTCGGCTCAGGCACAGCCCGAATGAGAGGTGACATTCGTCTGTTTACAACTCATTCGGGAAGTTGTTTAAATCATATGGCTTAATTGTGTTCAACTGTCGTTCTGTGAAGTCCGGACAGGACTGTGGGCTACAGGACAGTCTTATTTTTATTTCATTTTTTTCCCCAAAAAGCTGTGATTGTGGATTAGTGCTTAAATAAATACAGACTTTCGCCCTATCCCCCGATATCGGTGGCTCCGCGGAGCGAGCACCAATGAAATGGCTGCTTTTTGCGGATCTATTGGTAAAAAAAAAAAGACATCCCCACCCCCGCCCTGGGGCAGTAGTCGGCCCCGCGGAGTGCTGGCCCCAGGGATAACGGCGCCCGCTGCCGGAGAGGCTCCCGTGTGCGGGAGCCGAGGTGCGCCGCGGTATTGTCATCTCCGTTCACGTGAGTGCACGGGATGCGGTGCCGATCAGCAGGCCTGCTATTTTTAAACAGAGCTAGTCAAAAAAACCTTTCAGTCTGGGGGGGGGGTAGCTTTGGAAGTCAAAGGTTTGCTGGATCTGTTTCAGCAGATAAGCAGCCTGTTTGTGGTGGTCGTGTGCCGGGGGTCTTGTGCCTTACAAGCCTGACATCAGTGAGGCTGTCCCCCCACTGCAATACCCTGGAAGAGGTTTTCAACCTGCAAGACTGGACTGTTGGCGTGGTGTGAGCGAACCGGTCGGTTTCGGGGTTCAGCCACCTTCACATGAGGCGCAGAACTACAAGGATGTTGGCCATGTCGGTAGGGGGGAGAGGAAATTCAGGAGAGATGTTTTCTGTGTGCGGAGAGGGGATTTGGGATTAGGAAGTTGAGTGTATAACTAAGCGTGATTTAAGGGTTTGCACTGAACTGAAAAACAATGGCCTCTTTTTTTTCCCAGATGAAATTCTCTAAACAACAGCAGTGTCAGTCAGCGGAGTGTGTTATTTAAAATTCCACCTCTCTGAACATGGCTTTGAAACTTTTTCAGAACGCTTCTTTCTACCTTTTTCAGAAAAAAAAACAAACTCTGGCTGTTTACTCCAGTGTCAGTGGTGGGCCGGCAAACTGTGGAAGCCCCACAGATAAGCCTGTGGTTTTGTGGGATTGTTGGTGGCCAAGGTCGGTCAGCGTGTTCAGTGTGTTCGGGCCTGTCAGTGTGTTGAGGCCTGTCAGTGTGTTCAGTGTGTCCAGGCCTGTCATTGTGTTCGGGCCTGTCAGTGTGTTCAGTGTGTCC